GCTCTGATATCCTGGCCGTGTAATTAGAATTTATTTGCTCTTGCTGACATTTTGTTTTCAGCTCTAATTTAGTGAGATTATTGCCTCAGCTTGTCTTTTTGTTTCATTGTGCTTTGATCCTATTGGCTAATAGGTTATGTAAAATTAAGCAACAAGCACATAGATGAATTCATCTGTTTTCAAGATATCATTTTCTTATAAATGTTGGAATTTTTTTTATTCCCCCCATTGTTTTGTAGTCAAATTCTCTGAAGAATACTAATAATCCTTCTTCATTGTAATTTCTGTTGTATTGTTTTATTGTTTATGGAGAATTAATTTATATTTATGTACTAAAATATAACATCCTTGACAGCTTTTTATAAATACTGAGAAATATACTTGTCATATGCTCGTGGGTTTCTCTTCTACATATATGACAGCATAGCTACATCAGTTTAATTGACCTTGGCAATCTGCATCTGCTAGTGATGTGTCCCTCAGGGAGGGTTTCTGCAATTTTAAGCTGTGGCTTATTGAAGAACTTGTGTGTCACAATACAATTAAGTCTATATAAAAAAATCATTTCATGCATAACATTAAGTTGACTAAAAGTTCCTATTTCAAAACCGTTTCTTGTTTTAAAGCTACCTCCGAGTGTCTTTGTTTTTTAAATCAGCTCATTGGAACATAGTAGTAATTAAAGCCGAAAATTAACATAAATCTTGAATGTTTGGTATGAATAAAGGATGTTTTTGTTCCTTTTAAAGACTGCATAAAATTCCCGGCACCATATCATTTAACACATTTCTCTCCCATTTGCAAAATAATATAGGCTGTGAATAAGCACATTTTGGGATTCTTTTTCAAGTTCTTTTTCTGTTCATCTACGGAGCTACCAGGGCATATGCTGCAGTCTCCAGCAAGATGCAATCTCACGAAAATCTGTGGGGAAACTGTGTATGATCATAACAAAATCCCACTCTCCCCACCCCCATTATTTTATAAACAAGAAAGAAAATAATACAATCCTATTAATATTCATTTAACACTTCACAGGAAATGACAAGCAGTTATTTGGTTTGCAAATGTAAATATACATTTTTCATCCACTTATGCTTTTACTCTTTCCAAGCCAGATAAAGGCAGAACAGAAGATATCCTTCTGAGACTTATTTTTATTGTATCCCAAGTTAGACGTATCAGCAGAGATGTAAGAGAGCTGTGAGGAGTTCACAGAAGGATGGTTACAATGACGAGGATGAAAGTCTCCTTCGTAAGAAGCAGCTAAATAAATAAAGTCCTTTATGACAAATTATGAATAAAAGCACATGTATTTTTTTTCACTGAATCTTTAATTTGCATTCTAACTTAAATACTTTGGAGCTTTAAAAGTATGATTAAATGATGAAAATAACTGCTGTCTTTCAGAAGAGTCATTGAAATTGTGAAAAGTGTTACTTGGATCCACAGTCAGAATCAACAAAATTTCAGACAATTAATGATCACCCCTCTTTCTCTCTGTCTTTTTCTCTCTCTCTACCTCTCATGCTTAAATATTGAGTCTACTGTGCTTATAGGGAAATGATCCTAATCATCTGCTGTTCTCGATGTAATGAACAGTCATTCTTGTGTTAACTGCTCAGTGCCACCAATAGAAAACATTTCTAACTCACTAAAGGGTCACTTATATTCTTACAAGCTGTCCATGTTCTACTTTTTCAGTGATAAAGTTTGTCCAAATGATAAAGGACACGTTGAACTAGTAGATATTAAAATGCAAAGAAATGATCTTTATTTTGATTGATGTAAGCTTTGCTATACTATTTCGTAACAGCATAACCAATTGCTTGATCTCTCATTGCTTTCTATTTATTTATTAAATGAAGCTATGAACATTTTAAACTTGAAGTCCTCTAAAAAAGAGTAGGGGGGAATTAAATAGATGATTTTTTAAAAGAGAGCTGAGATAATTTTTAATATGAGACATAAATTCTCTTTTGGAATAGAGTATCAGGAAGTTATTTGATTATTTATAAGGTTAGTTGGATGTTACAAATGATCAAATATAATTAAAACAGTTTATAGTCAGATCTAAGACTTCAAGTTATAATTGAGTCAAATATTGAGGAAAGAGAACATAATTTAAAAAGTAAACATAAGTATATATGAATGTCTTAGAGACATAAAATAATGCAATGTGTATCTAATGGAAAGACCTGTGAATAGAATTAGTGCTTTTGAATTCACAAATGCATATTCCTAGGTTGGTTTATAGTATTGGTGCTAAATATTTTAAGAAATGCAATAATTACTTATTAAACTTCTAGTAACATCTCCTGACTATTTATTGACTGAATTAATGATGGCACTCTAATGTTAAGGTGAATCATACCATGTGCATTAAATCATAAAAAATTATAAAACACATTACTCATGAATTTCACTTTAATTCAAACATTTATTTGGCACCTACTATGTACGATTCACTGAGCCTGAGTAGATTCAAATTTTGTGAGACCTGAAGCCTATAAAATTTGAGGGCTTTTCTATAAAAAAAGAAAAAAAATTTCAAATTAAAATTTAGGTCTTGAAAGAGGCCCATGCAAGTGAGGGACCCTGGAGCTTAATCTTCAATAACTTCACAGTATATATGTCTTTGACTAATACCTGCTATGGGAAATCAAAGATAACTAAGGCATAATCCCTGCCTTGCTTAAGCTTAAAGTGAAATCTGTGCTAACCTTCAAGAGTATTCCTATAAAAAATGAGAAAAATGTATAAAAAGGCTTTGATCTAGTGAAATAGTTTTGAATTCCTTCTCATTTAAAAATCATCTTTATTTCAGATCTCCATAAAGGACAAGGTTGTATCAAAGTCTTGGACAAATAAGGGTATTTCTTATACAGGAGAATTATTTTTTATCTCTTGCATATGTTTGTGCTTATCTATAGGGCTTCCCTGATAGCTCAGTTGGTAAAGAATCTGCCTGCAATGCAGGAGACCCTGGTTCGATTCCTAGGTTGGAAGGATCCACTGGAGAAGAGATCGGCTCCCCACTCCAGTATTCTTGGGCTTCCCTGCGGCTATGCCATTCAATGGTGGTGTGTTAACAGTTACCATTATTATAATAAGTTGAACAGATGAGTCATGCCCACTATCAAAGTTTTGCAACCCAAGTAACTGTCAACAGATGGTAGTGATGATCTGTTATGCAATAGGGAACAAATATTAAGGTTTCTTTCCATGTGACCTTTGAAAAATTGGAAAAATCTTGTCATAATGTCATTCTGCGTTGAAAATAATTATATGAACATTAAATTTTGCTCTCACTAAAAGGTGAAATTGCATCAGAGATACAAACAATAGAAGATTTAAAAATAAAAACCTGAGCATGATGGCATTGACCCATCTACTAATTTATCCATCCATCCATCCATCCATCCATCCATTCAGTTGAGTGTCTTCCATGTTTTTAGGATATACTAGGCTTGGCTGTGGTAAGTATACTACTAAGTATAAGTATACTACTAGGCTGTGGTAAACACCACAGCATGGACATATTCTTGTTCTCATGGAACCTACAGTCTTGTGGAGAAAACACAATCAACAATAGTCCCTTAATGGTTTTCTAGAATTCTAATCTGTTTCAAGCAGAAAGCTACAAACATGTACCAGAGTTTATTTTTCTATTTTTCTATTATTGTTCAGAAAAAAAAAGTTAGAATAGCATTTTTTTTTTCTTCCACATTTGGGTATTTAATTTTCAACTTAAATTGTCAATCTATTCAACAACTAACTTTTGTGCTCCAAGAACTTCTAATATCTTCTCCCTTAGTTTACACAGTTATATTTTCTTTTCAATTACAGTAAAGAATAGTTCCCTTTAGTATATCATGAGAAGCTGTAGGGCTTCCCGGTGGCACTAGTGGTAAAGAGCCCACCTGTCAATGCAAGAGACATAAGAGATGTGAGTTCAACCCCTGGGTTAGGAAGATCACCTAGAGAAGGGCATGGAAACCCACTCCAGTATTCTTGCCTGAAGAATCCCATGGACAGAAGAGCCTGGTGGGCTATACTGCATAGGGTAGCAAAGAGTTGGACATGACTAAGGTGACTTAGCACACACACAGATACACGAGAAACTCTGCTTAAAATGCATCACATGAATATCTGAAAAGAACATTTTATCTTAAACATTGGCTCAATTTGCTTCATCATATATGGTACTATCTACCTTTCTTCATTTCTTCTCTAGATGAACTTCTTATCTAACTTATTTTCTTTCATCTCTTCCAAATATCCAGATCATGTGTCTAGTCAACTTCTTTAGAAAATTTTTCTTAAAGGGATTCAGTTTCTCCCTTTTTCTGACATGTTTAAATTCACTGGGACACAGCATATTTAGCAGAAAATTTAAATCTCTTTTACAGAGAAATTTCCCCAAAGAACTAATGTTAATGTTTGCATATGTTGATTTTTTCTGGCTAATTTTAACAGTATTCTGGATTCTTTAAATCACTTAACATTAAGTGTAAATAGCTTGATGAAAATGTATAAGCATTTTTCTTGTTTATAAAACTTTCTGTGAAAGGAAGATATTGGCAATTGACTCAAATTCATAATATAACTTACACCTGTATTACACAGGAATACATTTGGGGTCATATGAGTAATAAATTTGTGAAAATAATGGTTATGGAAAAAGTTTTAGAAAATACTTTTTATAACATTTAGAATATTTAAAGGACTATAGTCTCCCATACTTCTTAGACAAAAATACCAGATCTGAAATATTGCCTGTAGCTGTACATGTGAGTTTTATTTTGAATTGATTAAGTCAGTATACTTTGAATATATTATTAACTTAGATATTTCATTAGCCTTCCATTTTTATGGTTCATTAAAAACAGTTTTTTGAATCCCTAGAATAATAATTAAATCATAATTTTTCTTAATTTTCAAATTATTGTTATGTGGTTACAAATTAGTCATTGCTTGTTTTCTTTCACTTTTTGCAGTGAAAGAAGCCTTGAGCCCTATAAAATTTAACAGATGGGATCTCCCAGAAGTAGATCCAGAAACTATGCAAACCAGTGAACCATGGGTGTTTGCAGGTGGTGATGTTGTTGGTATAGCCAACACTACAGTGGAATCCGTGAATGATGGAAAGCAAGCCTCTTGGTACATTCACAGATATATACAGGTAGGCGTTTACCATCAAATTCAGTTAATTTTTTTCCAGTGGATTAGTGCTTCATTTATCTTTGCTACTTATTCATATGAACATTTCTGTAAGGTGTATAGTAACTCTATATATATATATATATATATATGAAATATGTCACATATATATTTTCTTGGATAAAAGTTTTTAAATGTGGACTAGATAGCAGACCTGTTTAGGTGATTTTTGAAAATTCATTGTGCATTTCTACCAATGAAATACTATGAAGTTATTTATCCTCTGTGTTTAAAAGATTTATCAATGTTTTAAGACATAGATAATATATTTATCAAATCTGGATGATATACAGTATGATATAGAATCTATATTCCTAAAGATTTATCAATCCAGAAAATTATGTTGTCTGTCCATTTGAACAGGTGAACTCCTATTCACTTCCTAAATTATATGTACCTAATTAAAAAGAAAACAAGTATTTTATCAATATGCATTCTAGTGTTTTTCACTATTGAGTTTTGTGATACATAAGCAGAATGTAAAAATGATAAAATGTAAAATAAACTACTCTGCTACAGTAACTTTGTGGTCTAGGGGATAAAAAGCCATAGCTATTAGGTTTCAGTTGTCTTATTTTTTGATGAAATGCTCTGTTCTCTTGCTCTATGTTTTAACTAAATGTAGACACAGTGACCTAATTTACATAAAATGTTTCTGTAAAAGTTTGTTTTTGCAAGTAAAATTCTTATTTTTCTTTCCTATTCAGGAATGACTCTAAATTCAAAATATAATTCCTGCCTGCCTCCTCTTGGTTTCTTTGGTTTCTTACATGCTAACAGGATTTACTTTGTCTTTAACGTTTCCTTGAATATTTTTCTTCCTCTTTGTCCTGACTAAGTCTGTCTGTCCAGTCTGTTCTGATTGTTCTCCTACTCTTTCTGTAATTCATCCATGACTACTTACTTCCTAGGTAAGGCTTGGACTTGGTACTGATTACATTATATTTTTATGTTCAGTTAACCTACTTACTCGCATCTCCCTTGTGGCTCAGCTGGTAAAAGAATCTGCCTGCCATGCAGGAGACCTGGGTTTGATTCCTGGGTTGGGAAGATCCCCTGGAGAAGGGAATGGCTACCCACTGCAGTATTCTGGCCTGGAGAACTCCATGGACTGTATAGTCCACGGGGTCGCAAAGAGTTGGACACGACTGAGTGACTCACTTTCATTTTCAGTCTCACCTCACTTTGGCATCCCTGAGTAATGGAGCTTGAGATCCCAGGATGTGGCCTAGAGTGTGTTGTCCCAGAAATATAAAGGTCTAGTTATTGTTGTAAACCCTACTGGCTGTGCACTGAGACAAAAGTGTGATTTAGGAAGTAGTGTTTTTGCATACATGCATGCTAAGTCACTTCAGTCGTGTCTGACTCTTTGAAATCTTATGGACTGTAGCCTGCCAAGCTCCTCTGTCCATGTGATTCTCTAGGCAAGAATTCTGGAGTGAATTGTCATGCCCTCCTCCAGGCGATCTTCCCAATCCAGGGGTAGAACCTGCGTCTCTTATGTCTACTGCATTGCTGGCAGATTCTTTACCACTGAGCCACTGGGGAAGCTGTGCTGTGTTTTGGGGAGATGATAAATCTAAATTAAGAATTCTTCCAAATCAGTCATAAATCAAGAGTTTAGGCTAGGAAGAAAGGGGGAAAAGGAATGGAGGTTTAACATACGGAAGTATGGGAACACAAAGGCGACGCATCAGTGGTGGTTTCAACCGCAGGCTCTGTGGCATCTGTATTTTGGAGTGTCTCCATGACCTTGGAAACACATAGAAGGAACAGTTCGTGACCACTACTGAGGATGGACTCCTGCTTTGGCTCTTTTTTGCTTTTTCTATCCCCAAACCTATCACCCTTTTTGTATTTCCTCATTCTTCTCTTATATTCACAGTATTCTCCCAGGGCACCCACGTGCTTAACTTCCTACTGTGTATCTCCAGTAGGAAATTCTGTCCATGGTCTCACTGGCTGTTGAATATCTTCACTTGTCTAAAATACATTGCAAATTTGCTACTCCACTTGTGTATATATATTTACCTACACTTCAAACTCACTGCTTTTAAACCAAACACGATCTCCTAAACGTGTTTTACTTTCCGTATTTAAAATTTCTGAATCCTCTAGGATTCAAATCCTCTACATCAGTGGTCCTCAGACTCTGGATTCAATTCAGTTCAGTCACTCAGTAATATCTCTTTGCGACCCAATGGACTACAGCATGCCTACTTTCCCTGTCCATCACCAAGTCCCAGAACGTGCTCAAACTCACATCCATTGAGTCAGTGATGCCATCCAACCATCTCATCCCCTGTCGTCCCCTTCTCTCCTGCCTTCAGTCTTTCCCAGCATCAGGGTCTTTCCCAATGAGTCAGTTCTTCTCATCAGGTGGACAAAGTATTGGAGTTCCAGATTCAGTGTCAGTCCATAATCAGGACTTATTTCCTTTAGGCTGGACTGGCTGGATCTCGTAGCTGCCCATGGAACTCTCAAGAGTCTTCTCCAACACCGCAGTTCAAAAGCATCAATTCCTAGATGCTCAGCTTTCTTAATGGTTCAACTCTCACATCAATATATGATTACTGGAAAAAACATAGCTTTGACCATACAGACCTTTGTCAGTAAAATAGTGTCTCTACTTTTTAACATGCTATGTAGGTTTGCCATAGCTTTTCTTCCAAGGAGCATGCATCTTTTAATTTCATGGCTGCAGTCACCATCTATAGTGATTTTGGAGCCCAAGAAAATAAAGTCTGTCACTGTTTCCCCATAAAACACGGGGAAAACATTTGCCATGAAATGGCAGATGAAGTGATGGGACTGGATACCATGATCTTAGTTTTTTGAATGTTGAGCTTTAAACCAGCTTTTTCACTCTCCTCTTTCACTTTCATCTAGAGGCTCTTTAGTTCCTCTGTGCTTTCTGCCATTTTCTTTTGCTTTTTGGCAGAAAGCAAAGAGCCTCTGGATTCCTCAAGCTAATAAAACTTTCAAAGTCAATTTGGAAACCGATATACGGTCAATGGCTTCTTATTTTGCTGAGTAACAGTATTAAAATAGACATTCAAGCACATGAAATTATAATATTTACTTTCATTTATAACAGGCTGCTTCATGAGAAAAGTAGAAACCAGCAAAATCTCACAATAGATTTATTTCTTAAGAAAACACAGTTGAAAGAATTACACTACTGTGCTTATACATATATTTTTCTCATAAAACAGCACAATTGTGTACACTCTTATTTATGAGCAACTTATTTAAATTTTCTTTTCTTCCCTCTATAATATATATACCTGGTCAATTCGATTCTATAAAGACTTTCATACACTTATTTTAATTTCCTTATTTTTTGTGTGAAATACAATTTTTGGTTGACCAGACATGTCACTGACCAGTCTGTTAGCTCCTTGAAGAAATGAAAGTGGACTCAGGAGTAAAGGCTTTTGTGCTAGGCCAATAAAAAACCTAGTGAAGATGTGAATTCAGTTTGCAGAAGTGAAAATGATGGGAAGGCAGCAATGCTAAAGAGATTTGAAAAGGTAAAATTGAACACAGGCAAGTGGAGAATGGTTTCTGTTATTGTTTTCTATATATTTAAATCCATTTATAGCTTTTAAGATAGAGACAGAAAATATTTACTATACTTTATGGAGGTGGTGGTTTTGTGGTGCTTCACAATTATCATTCAAAGGGATTCTTAAGAGTATTTGTTAATTCATTGTTATCTTTCTACTTTCCTAAATCTGATAAATGTGAACTGATAGAAACAGTCATTTTACTTAGTTTCCACTTACTCATGAAAGATATAGACTCTTAAGTATGATGAAAAAAGGTGCATGTGATTTAAATATATATACATATATGTTTAATTTCTATGATTGATAGTTTTTAATATATAAAAGTTAAAAAATAGTGACCAGTAAGCGTTTTGGATTTGGCTGCAGGATTCAGATCAAACAAAGTATTGAATGGCACTTTAATTCAGAGTTAAGTGCAAGGTAGGTAAAATCTCTGTCAGGTTAACACTTCCACCTTTCTGCGAGGGTGTTGGATACAAAGTACTAAGCAATTATGAGACTAAAAAGGAATATACAGACTAAGTAGAATTTTTCTTTCTATACTGTCAGTATCTTAGTTCTGGCCTCTGTCACCTCTTAAAATTGTCTCCAGTGTCCTCCTATCAAATTCAAAGCCCCCTAGACTGAAGCCAGAGTTTTCTTTCTAGAATACAGGTTCTTCAGTTAACTCTTCAGAGGCAGGATCCTCTTTAGACTCAAGTGGAGTATACTCCTCTGGTGTGTTCAGTCACTCAGTAGTGTCAGATTCTTTGCGGACCCCATGGACTGTAGCCCGCCAGGTTCCTTTGTCCATGGGATTTCCCAGACAAGAATACTGAAGTGGGTTGCCATCCCCTCCTCCAGGGGATCTTCCCAATCCAGGGGTCAGACTCATGTCTTCTGTGTCTCTTGAATTGGCCAGTGGCTTCTTTACCACTAAGCCACCTGGGAAGCCCATATTCCTCTTTATACTCCTTAGCTCATGAAACCAATTTGAATTTCCCCTAACACATCAAGATTTCTCCTACATCCAGTCCTTTCCCAACTCCAGACGTTTCACAAGTCTGCATCCCTCTTGCCCTTCAGGTTTTGCTTCCTCCTCCTCTTCCAGGAACACATTCCTCCTGGTGTGTTCTTTAGCATCTTGTGTTTCCCTGATTGGAGTCTTCTTACTGGTTTGATGCTGCACTAGCCAGTGATGTGCTCTTTACTAATATATCCTCAAAATAAAAAATGTATTCATTCATTAAATAGAATAAATATGTAGTGATAACTGATTTTAAAGGAATTTAAAGAAGAGTTAAGAGAACTGAAAATTTGTTTTATAATTAATTAGCACTGTAAATAGTGTTTTCTTATGAATGTAAGAATTGTAGTATTCATTTAGAAAGCTTTCTATAATGCCTGAAGT